GTTGCCATAGTGGACAACTTCAAAAATAAGTTCTAGAGCAGCTGCTGACAGGCCAAAGGGGGCAAAAAAAATTGAACAAAGTGTTATATTCTGTGCCCAGCCATTGCTTCTGGTGCCCTGAGGTGGTGGAGGGTGCAAGTATCACAGGCTGAGTAATCCCTTGGTAGGAAGCTGTTTGTGCCTCTGGATAGCAAAGGGATTTCTTTGCTGCTGAACTGTCTGTCATTGAAGGGTTGTGCCAGACCTTCCCTGCACATCGAGTTGAGGGGCCGCAGCAGGTGGAGGTTTCTCCTTTCTCACCCTTTCTGGGACTGACCATCTTCCTGCTCCAAGAGCTGTGGCCTGTTGCACTGGTCCAACCAGCAGCGTGCTAAATCTGTCAGACTCCAAATCCCTGGAGGCATTTTTTATGTGCATATTAGCTTCACACCTTCCTTTACCTCAGCTGGTGAGACAGACATCATTCAGTTTTGTCTCTGGGTTGGAGAAGACTGAATGTAGTCAGGAGGTTAAGACCAAGGAGCCCTATACTTAGATCCCAGCTCTGGCACAGGCTTTGAAGACCTGCCTCCCATTGTGCATGTCTGGATCCTGTAAACTATTTAATTGCTGGATTCGTGTAGGTTTATGGGAACTGGACTGAGCTGTCATCTCAGCGCAGCGAGCAGTTAGTGGCAAGGTGTGCTTTCTGTGATCTCCGCTTCCTTTCCCAACCCCTGCCTCCTCTTGGTCCTATGCTTTTCAAGTCCCAGAAACATGCAGGGTTTAACGGTTGGGATCTAACCCAGGAGCAGGTCCTGTGGCTATGTCGAGGCCAGCAGAGGTGTTTTTTTTCCAGGGTGTGTGGTTACTACACTGCGTCTCTGAAAATCCTGCGTGCTCGGGGCCTGCCTGATGTTTTTCCCAGCGCCTCGCATGCTCCCTGTGCACCAGAGGTGGACCCTGATGGCACAAGAGTGCAGGGGGGTGACAGGAGCAGGGGGACTGTGCCAGGAGCCAGTGCTGCAGAGTGCATGAGAAACAGTGCTACGGTGCTGCTCTCCAGCTGGGCAGGGATCGGAGCTGGCTCTTTGGGCGCTGTGTTTGAAAATAAATGGGCTGCATGATTGTATTAATCTGAACCCAGTGCTGGTGGGGCTCTGTGGGGAGTTCTGGCTAATTGCTGCATGAAGACACCAAGTTTATTCTGTCGAATTAAATTCATGGATGTAGAGTAACCTTGGGTGATGATTGCTGTATGATGTGACTGTCCTTGCTGAGGACTGTGACTGGGTGGTGTGTTTGGAATGCCCTAAATTGTGACAACGCTGTAGCAAGTCTTGTGTTTCTTTCTGAACTGCTTTTCCCCTTTTCCCACTCCTTTCCAATCTGATCAGCAAACGCTTCTAAATATTCATAACTTTGGATTTGTCTCTATCCACATGACTGCCGCCGGTTTGAAAGGCATGTGATAATGCTGAGGGGGAAATGGGGTTAATCTCCTCCAGCACAGGCAGAACAAGGCTGAGCAGGAGGTGTACAGTGCTAGAATTTATTCTTATTTCTGAACATGCCTTTTCCAGTGTATTTGCAGTCTGCAGAGAAGGCGAAATAACAGTTTTCCTTCCCTAACTGCTTCTTCAGATGTGGATTCAGTGTCAGGACAGGGACATGGGTCTGCTAGTTGTGTGCAAGTGGGATTTCGGGGCATCAGTGCCTTCAGGCTTAACAAATAACTCCACAGTGCTTTCCTCCCCACCAACATTTGCAGCTCTGGCTTTCTCCATGTCCATCAGCCAGTTTCTACATGGAAGTTGCAGGGTGAGGTTGGTGGGTAGGAGGCAAGGAGCGATCAGCCTCTCTTGTAACCTGGGCAGATCCTGTGACCGACGAGGCTTTTAGCCTCTCATCCACATGTGCTTTAGACCTGGGCTGAGCCGACCTACCCTTGCTGGCAGCAGATGCAGCCAGAGGCCCAGGCTGCGGAGGGTGAGATGGTGAACTGTGCCTTCTGGGCTGGCCGAGCTGTGGGTGAGGCTGCCTCTGTGCCCACAGAGCTGCAGGGCCCTGGAGAGACTCACAGGCTTGTGCTCAAAGGGAGCAAAATTGTTAGCTTGGCAAACCAGGGCAACCTCATTAAGAGCTACTGAGAGCATGAAAAGCATGTTGCTGGAGGCAGGTCATTGTAAATGAGGGGGCTAAAGTAGCTGGGATTTTCTAACAATTAATTATTGAGTGGTTTGCTAGAGATTCTTTCTCATGTTTGTAATTCATTCCCTGCTGTAGATGCCATATTGATTTATAATTTTTTGAAGTTCAATATTTTGTGCCCTCAGGGCCTCAAACAAAAATTAACTGGAAAATGAGAGTAAATTTCTGCGTTCTGCTTTGTCAGATCTTTCTCTCCCGTTCCCTGTCTCCAGAGCCAGTTTCTGTGCTCTGGTTTGGGTTGCAGATGTTGCCAAGCCTGTGTGCTGTGGGCTCTGAGACATGAGTGGCAGAACAGCTGTGGCAGAAGAGCTGCCTCACTGACCAACAAATGAGGAAATCAAGAGCCCAATTAAGACCCTTGAATTGCCCCCAGTGACCTGAGCAGAGCATTTAGTAGCTGCTAGTGAGACAGGCCTGTTTGAATGAATAAGCATTCCTGTTCATTTGAAGAAAAAAATTCCCTCCTCCCCCAGCTCTAATTAGCTACTCTTTTTTTTCTTTCCTTTTTTTTTTCCTGCCATGAATATAGAGGGTTTGTCACTGGAATGAAACCTTAACAAGGTGCATGTTCTTCAGCTTGCGGCTGGTAGAGGTGATCTCTGTGCAGGTGCTGTGGGGACTCCTGTACCTGTTTTCTGTATTTCCTTGCTGGGTCTTTGTTTTTGCTCTTGTGAGTACAACTCTTCCTCACTCTCTGGTTTGTATCTTTTCCTCCAACAGAGTGACTAAAGAAGTAGACTCTACCTCAAAAGAAGCTAAATCTTTTCTGAAGCAGCAAGAGAAATGGCAGTCAGCAGCTCCAGCTTCCCTCCCTACAGTCTCTGGGTGAGTATGTGGTTTCTCTGCCCTGGTATGGACCCTTAGTGAGAAAGATGGCACTTGATGTGGTATTAAAGCTAATGGGTATTTGTTTTCTGCAGGATTTCAGTAGGAGCAAGACTAGGCCTGGAAGGTGTGATGGTTTGGAGGGGAGGGAAGCGGGGGAAGCAAACCATGAGTCCCAGTGACTCACTTTGTAGGTTCAGGCTTGTATTTCTCAATCCGTATAAATCGTTCATCCTAGTAAGGAAATACTGTTTCAAGTGTTTTGAGCAGCCTGATGAAACTGCAGGTAGCCAAGGAACATGCCTGAGACTGCCTGCAGTTCCTTTGGAAGGTGCTTCTTAGGATCATAAAAAGCCATGACAGGCTGGGCTGTGGCTTCTTAGAAACTTTGGGGGAGCATTTGAATGAGAGATGCTTATGCCTCTTTAATGTTCTTGAATATCATTTTGATGTGGATTTGTCACTTTCTGTTCAAGCTCTAACACCTAGTTCTGAGATTATCATAATGCTTGTCAAAGATACAAAGAGGTCACGTCCCCTGTGCATCTGACATGCCACTCCATGTGGTTCTTGATGAGCTTGGGAGGTCACCCGCTCCTCAGGAATAGATGAGATGCTTCTGTATTCCAACAATGATTTTTAAGTCAGTCACTTGTATTTATATTTGAAAGACATAAACTGCGTACGATTTGGTCACATAGAAACAGCACCCATCAAATAAGTACATTGTCCTTTCCATCTGCTGAAGAGCAATTCTCCAGTGTGAGTTAAGGCTGCCTTTCCCTGAGATAGGCTGTTATTCAGTTGCTGCAGCTGGATTGTCACTCACTTTTCCAGCTAAGTGTTTCATAGCTTGTTGTTAGATCAGGGTAGTGAAAGCATAGTGCGTGTGTGTGACTCTTGACAGCTGCTGTTCCCTGAGATGAATGAATGCATAGATGAGCATAGTCTTGTTGCTGCTGTTCACGCTGCACAAGGGTTCGTCCCTGCAGAGCTCATTAATTGTAACCTAAGTGTTGTGTACGGGGTTTTGTGCTTGGAAGAGCTTGCCTTGAGTTGGACTAATGTTCTTTGTTCAGTATGGGCGGCCACAGAGTTGGTTTGGGTGGCAGCTGAAGCTAGGGCAGCTTCTTGCTGTGCACACTGCTGGTGGTCCCATGTCTTTAAACCTGCCTTCCAGTTCCCCCAGCAAATACCCTGCTGCTCCGAGTACAGGTAGGTGTGGTAGCCCACTGGGAAAGCCCCAAGGGCTGCTCACCTTCCTGCTCTGCTGAGATCCGTATTTCCTCCTTGTCTTACTGGCCCGAGGGAGGAGGTGGATGGCCTGGTCACTACCAAGGTGCATGCGTGCTTGTGCTGAAGCTCTGATCGCTCAGGAGAAACAGCCAGAGCCCGGTTTGAGTTAACGCCGCAGATATCTGAAGTGAAGAATCCACATCAAATGTGGAAAAAATGGAATAAGAATCAATATAAGAAATAACAAGTTCAAGGACTCCTTTAACTTTCCTCCAGTGTGATTGTTTTGGAAGCAGCTTAATTAGGCTGTCATTCAGCTTGCTGATGTGTAATGTCCTACTGACGCTTGCCCAGAGTATGAGATGGCCTGGCTGCGGGGAAGGGAGGGGGGAAAAACACCCTGGGCTTGTACGTCTTGGTTTCCTTCAGAGCAACAAACTCTGATGCAGCGTAGCCCCATGTGCCTTCCCTTTTGCAACCTGCTGTGGAATATCCTGGGTTTGTGCAGCAACACTATGGCAGAGGCGTAGCAGTGGTATTTTGATCAGTGTGTGGAACAGCCTAGCTGTTCTCGAGGGTTTGAAAGAGACTGTCTGGGGCAGCCTGGCCAGTGTGTGCCCTCTGGTCTGAGAGTGCTCCAGGGAGCCTTCTACCTTGGGACTGTATCAGAGACAGATCCCTGAGACTGCCAGCAAACAGGCTTGCCTTTGGGCTTAGGAGGGTGCTTCCAGCTGGGAAGTCAGCCAGAGTATTTTCAGGTGAGAAAATTACTAACAGGCTTGCAGTGTTCCTTAAAGCCAGAGGCGAGTGCCCTACGTTAAGAAAATTACAAAGGTCAGGTGTAAGATTTGGAGCCAAGCTATTGTCCAAGCCCTGCTTCTCTGGAGCAAAGAGCCACAAGCCTCAGTGACATGTTGGAGCAGTGCCTGGGCACTGACAGAGCCTGTCATCACCTGGTGCTTCTTTGCTGGTGTCCTTTGGCTGCTTAAAATAGAAGTTTTGGGAAAGAGGGTGCATTTCTCCCTGTGCATTACAGGAGAGCCCCAGTCTGGGTCAATATCACTAGAAGGCAGTGAAAAACATGGGATTCAGGATCCTAGATGTGCCTGTGGACACCCACTGTGTTGTGAGCCATTGTCAGCCCCCAGGAGCTTTGTCAGCTATTTCAAAAAAACAAGAGTGAGCTTTGCCTTGTGTGCAGGGGATTTGAGCAGCTAAGAGTGGCCTCTCCATCTGGCTTTTCTTTCTTCACCTTGCAAGCAGCTTGCATTATTTCTGGATGCAGCCAGCGTACCCTGCATTTATTTAATTTCTCTTCTCTAAACAGACAGAAGTAATCCAGGAAAGCAGCAGTCACAAACCCAAACATCCGGTTCCACATCTCCATGTTACAAACCCTTGCAGCCTAACTGGTCCAGGGGAAGGGATGTTTGGGGCTGAAAGTGCATTTCCTGAATGTCTTTAACATCCATACCGGATGTGCTATAAAAAGATAGATTTGTGCTTGTGAGGGACATGGGGGTGGTTGGAAGAGAATAGCTTAAACACTTGGCTGTAATTAAAGCCAGGAGTACAAAACAACCCACCCAATTCTTTCAGCAGGCTTTGCTAGAAAGGTCAGAAGCTCTTTGTTCCCAGGGATGTGATGGTTTCCCAGCCTTCCCACTGTGTCCCCCAGTGACACCCGGCAAGGCAGTGGTCTGTCAGCAGTGGGTATCGGTTTGTTGGAGAGGTTTGGGATCGATACTCTGTTCCAGCCATGTTTCTGTCATGCTTTGGGGTTGTGTTAGGCTCTCACTGATGCTGTCAGAGGTATCAGGTGTGATGAGGGGATCCACTGATCCCTTGTAATTCACTGACACAAAAAATGGGCAGAAGGTTCCTGGCATTCAAAAAAAAAAAAAAAAAAAGCCCTCCACCCACCCTGCTAAGCCTTCTTGCCTTTCTATGTGTTTTAGGGCTCGTTTCCTATCCTTACCCCTGCTCCAGAGCCTTTTGGGGGCAGCAAGAGTAGCTCCTGGCTGTAAATGCATGACCTGATGGAGGGGTCAGTCAGCTCTTGGGCATGCCTGCTGCTCTGAGAGCTGCTTTCTGCCCCCTCCTTGGGCCAGGCAGGACCTGTGAGCTGGGTGCATCATCCTCTGCACAAGTAATCCTGTTTTGCAACCACCATTTCATATTCAGAGATGTTAAAGCAAATGAAATCCTCCACACAGCTTACTGCAGAATGACTGTGTGCGTATACTTGTGCATGTGTGACTTGAGACACAACGGGGGGGTTGAGCTGCAGGCTGGGAAATACCTGCACAGCCCTTTGGCGTGAGCAGCTGCAATCTGCCTGTCGGTCCCTGACACTTGTCAAAGCACAGCGGCATAGTATAGGGAACAGTGCTGCTGTAGCAGTCCTGAAAATGAAAAAAATGTTGTTGTTGGATCTTATTTGAGAATCTTCTCTAGGCAGCTGTTTCTACACGGCCCGAAGAGGAGCCAGGAAGAAAAAGGGAGGTTTTTCATGGGCTTTGTTCTTGACTTTGCTTATTGCCAAAACTATTTGTAATTAAATGTGGACTTGCATGCTCAGCCCAGCTGTTGCTTTTGTTTGTAATATCTGCCTGAAATTACAGTGGTGGACGTGTGACCTCCTAAGCCTTTTCATGCCATGTAGGCTGATATAAACACAGGGTAAAATTTGCCTTGGAAGCAAGTGGGCACCAATCCCATGGAGTTCAGGAGGTGCGGTGCTTGCTGACCCCTAGGCTGAGTTTGGTCTGTGAGTGTTTGGGCCTCGGTGCAAGACTCATCAGGAAGAGACACTGCAAGAAAGCTGTGACCTGGAGGTACCTACTTGCCCTGAACAAAGAAAGCAAGATGAACTCTTACCTGTTCATCATGGATGCTTTCCTCCCTTAGTCTACAGTAGAGCAGTTCATGTGGATGGACCATTACATGGTGTGAAAAGCTTCAAGCCTTTCCTTTTAGAGGTTATTTACTCTGCACACTAATGTTGGAGTAGAGGGACTCCAGCAGGAAGACATCTGTCCGTGGCTTCTCTCCCACCTTCAATGTGCAATAGGGGAAATGGTGGCAGTCATTGTGGGAGGATATGGATAGTGGGAGCAATGGGAGCCTGTTTGCAGCATCCTGACCTGTTAGTGTGATTTCTAAGCTAACCTTCCCCTCCAGCCTGGCTACTCCTAGGAGCTGCTTTGCATCCAAAGCTTTTTCTTGCAAAAGCTGCTCTTTCTGCATGAGTTGGCTGGAGCTAATTGTATCCCATTGCTATCATGACTGAAACTGAGGTCTTGAGATCTTAAGTGGACACTGGTGAGACGGGCACAGGCTCTCAGCTTCTGTAAACTTCAGATGATCTAGAGCAAGCGCTGCAGCACTCATGTTTCCAGGGAGAAGTTTCATTTCACAGCAATCCCGTGGGCTTTTTTTCTTCATAAAGCAGGAATTTACAGTTCAATTTCAGCTTGGCGTCAACTGTAAGCAGTTATTTAGCTAAAACTCTTGCACATTTTCTTGTGTGGGCTGGACAGGGATACAAATAAAGCAAGTAATCAAGACCTTTGGGGGAGCTGGAGGTGGATTTTCTTTTTTCAGTAGTCGCTTAAGCAATTGAATAGCTATATTCTTGCTAGGGATTTTAGGGCTTCTCAGCTTTCTCCTGCACTTCCTTTACTGTGCTCCAGAGAGTGCTGTTCTGCCAGACTGAGAGATCCAGCCCCTTGCAGCATAGCCAAATGTCTGGGTGTGAGTAGTACA